GGGGGCTGGCTATAAATGTGGTACCTTTTTAAAGGGAAACTAAAGGTGGGGAGTTTAGGGTATATAGGGCTTCTATAAGGTATATAGACCTTCTATAAGGCTCCTATAAAGGTAACTACCCCACCTGAAAATGGCCTAGACTCTTTATAAATCTGGTTCGAGCTTCTAAAGAGCACCAGGATCACGCGGGATTAGCAGTACGTGAAGACGCATCCTTCGGCTTGGTTCGCTGCGGTGCTGGTCTGTGGGTCTGTAGGTCCTCCTGCATCGCTTCTTAAGAACCTAGGACCAGGCGGCGAAAGAATCCAGTCAGATAGGAACCTGGTGCAATGGTCTCAAGGCCTGATCAGCTGGGTTTAGGGCTCACTTAGGTTGCGGGCTGTTGCGGGTGTTGAGCTTTAGATTTCAGTTTAGGGTTCGGGATACTAGTAAGACAGTAGTGGTAGGTTGCACTGCGCACCGTCGTATGCTGCTCTTTGGGCGGAATGCATCGGGCGAACAAGGAGGAGTAAGCATGTCGACGCCTTGTCCCGCATAGCGTGACATGCCACACACACACACACATACACACACAAGCACAAAGAGATGCCGACAGCAGAGCTTCAAGTCGCTTGGAAACGCCACCTCAGAGAATCGCCACACCTTTGAATACACTCTCAATACCATGACATCCTAAGGTTGAACCCTACGCCCTAATCGGCCCTAACCCAAGCCTTTGGGTACTTAATTAGACCCTTGAAGCTTTCGCAAGTGCCACATCGTCGGGCGCCTCCGCAGGATCAGCCTCTTCGATGAAAAGGCCCCCTTGCATTTCGAACTCCTCCACTTTGGGAAGCTGTGCCGGAAGATCCAGGCCCGCGGGGTTCAGGAGTTTTGGGCATGGCAATTAGGGCAAAATCTTGCGTGCACAGAGCTTCAAGCATCCCACATATCCCACGGCCGACACCCCATCCCTGCAGTCTCGATGAAGTCTGGACCCAAGGCCCTGGAAGCATCATGCTTGCACCGCCCTAGAAGCCGCTCCTTCATGACATCCAGGTCGAGTTGGACGGTTTTCCAGCCTGTGTGGTATATAATCTCGCAGAAGGACGTCAGACAGCACATGGCAGCATGGTACAGAGAAGCAGCAGGATCCGTAGTGGTCTCTTTTGAAGCAATGGTGAAGACATGCAGGGGCTTAGTCTCAACTGCAGCTCCATTCATTCATCTTAGAATCTTGAACTAGGTGAATGGGTTTTTCGGGATGGGAGTCTAGGAGATGGGCGCTACACACTAGGCCTCACTAGGTCTGAAGAAACGAGCCCTAGAAATCCTGAAGCTTCCTGAAGTAACCCTAGACCCCACCGATACCACCCCAAAAGGCCATCCCGCCAAACCCTACACCCTAAACCCTAAACCCTAAACCCCAAAACCCTAAACCCTAAATCCCTAAACCCCTAAACATTAAACCCTAAACCCCAACCCAAAAACGGCTCCCAGCTCTTGGAACCCGCGCCGCTCTTCGAGAAGGCGGGGTTCGACCTCCTCTCCTGGCATCGCAGAGCGCGCTCTCGGCAAAGGGGGTTTGGGCGTTAGGGTTTAGGGTTTAGGGGCTTAGGGTTTAGGAGTTTAGGGTCTAGGCTTTAGGGCTTTAGGGCTTTAGGGTTTAGGGTTTTAGTTTGGGACTTCTCCAAAAGCTCTTGGGGCCCTTGCTCCCGCGGCTCTTGGGGGGGTTTAGGACGGAATTTGGCACCTTTGGGGCTTCTAAACTGCCTTCCACGCTGCTGAGGGGAGATTCCGCCTAACGAGGTCACCGGAAACATCTCAACACCCTTCCTCCCCAAACTTTGAAAAATGTCCAAGACGCCCTACAAAACCAGGGAACCTGTGGAATGCCATTGGCGCCGCCCTCGCGCGGAGCAGACTCCTGGCTCTGGCTGGGAACCGCAAACGGAGACCGAAGGACTCCGCATTGAAAAGGCTCGCGGCCCATGGCGTCTAGAAGTACATACTCATAATCAGAAGACATGCCCGTGTAAGAGCAGCAGAATGTGTGTCGATGCGCAATGGTTTATGACACTGACGTCACAAGCGAGAAGTGGCGCGCAAAACTGCAAAACAGGCATGAAACTAGCTTTTGTGACAAGGTAACTACTGTAGCTATGTGTAGACAAAAAAGCTGATCTGCAAGACCTAAAGCTCTTTAAACCTGTAGTATGCATCTGTATGTGCAAAAGTACATATGACATTTCATATCATAACAGATAACATGCCACATCATACGACGCAGTGTTGCAGTAGATATATATATCAGCCATCATGCTCCAAGGCTGGCTGGCTATGTGCAACAGCCCTGTCTGTCCTTCCGCCGTCGCTTCCGGGCCACCATGACTAAGAAGGTTATGGAGTTCCAGAAATTGGGGGGGATGCTCTTGTTAAGGGGTCCTTATGACTCATGACATAAGACCCGTTGTGCTTAGGGTCTACAATGCGGGGGTCCCGGACTCTCGGAAAGGACGGGTGGTGGCATTGACGCGGCAGATGAAGCATGGCACTTTACCACTGACGTGGGTGACTACGAGTACAATTGCCTGGAGAGTGCAGGAAACGCAGACGGCATGTCACGATGTTCCCAATCTGATCCATATGGCTGAAATGAATGGCCAGGCCCGAGCCCTCCTCCGAACCGTGGCCATTTGTTTGATTGGTGTTCTTCTTCTTCTTCGCACGAGTGATATGATATGTTGATGAGTTCGTACGATGAAGAACGAGTTACCAAAATCTTACCGGTGCATATCATGAAAAGGCAAGCCATACATTCTCATGTTGCGTACATCGTCATACCTCCTCCTGCATTCTCGACAAATGGTGGAATAGTGCACAGATATGACATCCTTGATATTATTTGATCATATGTTGTCACAGAGTCAGGCACCCGAAACCTCAATATTCAAGCGCTGATACCGAGCGCAAGCCCCACTCAAGCACATGTTCTCGTTCAATCCTCTTGTGCAGAGGTCATGGATGCAAGAGCATCCTGTCTAAACGGCGGGACGGAGAGGTCCTAAGCGGTGGCATGTGCGAACCAGCGACATTAGCTATGCAGGAGCTGCAGGTAGGGGAAATGTCATGAACGGCAAGTGGAGCACTCGGACCTCTGAAAGGAAAGCCACAGCTCCTGCACCCTTACGATAGTTTAAATGATGTAGGGCTTGCCACAATGCCTCACAAGCTGTCCATCACGGGGCGAAGGCTTACCTTCCTGGTGCGACTGCGAGTGCATGAGCTTGTGCACGATAAGTTCGTCCGTCTGCACCGCTAAGTGTACGATTCCTGTAGCAATTTCCGGAGGCGTCGCGGCGTAACCAAGTGAAACACTATTCTAGAGGCACTTCATGTGAATTGCGCCTGGAGCAACCCTGGGTTCGCTGGACTGCAGGCGCTGCCGAAAGCTCTTGGCGCGGTCTCTGCTCAAACGCGGGCTGCCACCAAGTCTCGGCTGGGCCCCCGCCCGGAGGCCTTAGCTCGGCCAGCCGCCATAGCCTCAACAAAGCAGGCTGTTGGCTAAGAGGGCTGGCACTCCTTGGGAGTGGTCATATGATGGGTTCACGGTTTCAGCATGTATCAGCCTTGAAGGTGACTTTTATTGCCTCAGGTATGGAAGCTCCGAGTCCTAGCCTGGGGCTGGGGAGTGGAAACCAAAACAACGGCCCCTCGAAAATCATTTGCCGGGATGAGCAGAACACAACTGAAGCCGTGCGACGCTGTAGTCACGTGCCACGAAGCCAGCGGAAAGAGAACATGCAGACAGGCAAAAGGACGACCAGCGAGCTGACATTCAGAACACTCTCACCATGCAGGGGCCTTAATAATTAGAATGGGGTTTTGGGGGTTCCTTGTTATAATTGTAGTACAGTGGGCCCCAAAACCCTATTCTCATTATGAAGGCCCCTACATTACACACCGGCCTCCACCTCCACCACCGAAAGGTCCGGCTGGGCCTTTGCCGAAGCCGCCCTTCGGGGCACCTGGCATACAAACTAAACAGCTTACGCCACCCCGTTCACGTCAGCACATGATTCTTACAAGGCGGATGGCTCCAACCGTCTGAAACTCACGGCTTGCTTGCCTCCGAAGCCTCCCGGCGGTTGGCTTTGGAAGCTTCCCGGCGGTTGGCTTTGGAAGCCTCCCGGCGGTTGGCTCCCGAAGCCACCAGGAGGTTGGCTTCCAAAGCCACCAGGAGGTTGGCTTCCAAAGCCACCAGGGCCCCCAGGACCAGCCGCGACCCCGAAGGGATTTCCAGCCTCAGCAACACACGCTTCATGCCAGGACAACCAGCATCGAACAAGAACGAGGGAGAAAGCCCAATCTTCTGCTTCTTCGTTATTGAGGGCCTCTGATTCTACTGGGATTTGCAGTACTCCAAAAGCCACCCACGGCCCAACCTTGTCCACGCCTGTGCAGGAAGCCATTCGGTCCGTGTAGAAACAAACACACGCAAACGGAGAGAGTCAAGGATCAAAGAGCACTCGAAACTACTTATACATGCAATATGCAATGTTACAGAATATGCAACCTCGAATACAGTGTGGCATCTAATATTATGTGGCATGACGTGTCATACATGTACGTACGACTTTCCATGAAAATGCATACCGATACCCCCATGTTAAACCACTACAGTGTGTTAAACTTATTGTGCAGATGGTGCTACCCGCCTACTCACCGACCGTTCCCAGCAGCATGTGGAGATCGATCACCCTGTTGTTCATACTTGGGCACAAGCTATAACTAGGACGAGTGTGTGCTCTCTGGGCGGTCCAAACACTCCTGCACTGCCATGCACCACAGGCTTCAAGTCGTCCCAGAATTTGCTACGGAGCTGGTCGCTTGCGCCAAGTGGCACCGCCGCCCTTGCTGCCGAAACCTCCAGCTCCAGGCGGAGGCCCTGCAAAGGCGAACATATGGTGGCGATATGTGGCGATCGTACTTTCCGATACCGAGAATCCAGGCATGCAGTGCACGTCACGGCTGGCGGAAGGGAACGTGTAGTTATCACAGCAATGATATGCATTGGAAGGGAACGTAGTTATCCTAACAGTGACATGCATTGCAGCAGCACAGAAGTAATTCTCAGCCCGACTGTCACACATCAGGCTGCATGCATGGAAAGCAAGCAGGGTTGGTTTGCCTTTGCACAACGAATCGAAACAGCACTCCAGCTAAATCTAGCACCCTACCTGCAAGCACCGAACCTTTTTCAAAACCCAAACCATGGACTTGACGAGCGTTGTTTGTAATTTCCTTCGCTTAAACTTCCGACACCCACTCTCATCTCTACGCAAGATACATTTTTGTGATGTACGTATATATCGTACGTGTATACATACATATTGTATGTACGCACATACATACATACATACGTACGTACGTACCTACATACATACATACATACATACATACATACATACATACCATACCATACATACATACATCCATGCATACGTACGTACGTACACAAATACATACCTACCTACCTACCTACCTACCTACCTACCTACCTACCTACCTACATCCATCCATGCATGCATGCATCCATCCATACGTACTATACATACGATACATACCATACATACATACATTACGTACATTACGTACGTTACATACATTACATACAGTACATACAGTACATACAGTACATACATTACATACATTACATACATTACATACATTACATACATTACATACATTGCATACATTACATACGTTACATACGTTAAATACAATACATACAGTACATACATTACATTGCATTACATTACATTACATTACATTACATTACCTGAATACATACATACATACATACATACATACATACATACATACATACCTGCATACCTGCATACCTACATACATGTATGTGTGTGTGTATATATATATATGCACATTGTTTGTCTACTCCCTTGCACAGACCGGCCTCCTCCCTTCTGAGCATCCCAGCCACCTGCCGAGCAAGAGCCCTCAGCACGAAACGTCTGCCTAGGCCTAGGCCAAAGGCCTCGGAGGTCACGAAAGGCTTGGCGAAGCTCGAGCTCTAGGCACCGGACTACGATCCCGGTCTCGAGTTCTGGCTGTAAATACACGAAACTGGCTCCTCACCAGAACAGGAGTCCCGAAGTGCTACGAAAGTCTGTGCTGTTGGAGGCTGATAGTCGACAAAACGAACACGGGATCATACTTGTAGAATCTGTCTTGCTTCCTCCGGAAAGATGCCAAAAGCCACGACCTGGCTAAGATCAACTACCTGGACTTTAGACCAATACACCGCCAGTCGAAGCAGGCACAACCTAGGAGAGCGCGATGTGTACACAAATCCTGCGAAAACGCGGTGAATAAACGACACGGTGACAAACATAGTGGCGCTCAGTGGAAGCACATTTGGCTCACTCCGCCCACTTCTACCAAACACCTGTGAGCGGCCCAGCCTTTCGGCCCGCCACCTTTGTCGAAGCCGCCCGTCGGGGCGCCTGGGTGGTGGTGGTCTCAGGATCAAGCCCCAATGAGAGCTTCCCTTCAAGGGATGCTGATGGGGAAGTTATATGAGGTCGCATCACTTTGGGCATCTCTGATGGGGGACCCGAGTTTACGGCAACCAAAGAGTCGAGCCTCCAAAGCCCCCAGGAGCTTGGCCGCCGAAGGGATTCCCAGCCTTGGGTCTTCCGTCGTGGGGCAGAAGTGAGGCAGAAGTGAGCAGTTGCAGCAGCAGGAGGGGTCGTAGTCGTCGAGGTGGTGGCAGCGGTAGGTACTGGTAGCAGTAGCGAGCGTGGCACAGGTAGTGGTAGTCCTGTGACAGACATAGCTCTTGTAGTGATGATGCCAGCACATTCTCATAGTTTCGTCATGTGGGTTGTGTCTTTCTTGAAGGAATATATTTGCTCTCTCCTGACTCAGAAATCCTCGGAAGAGGCTGGACATGGGTGTCCGAGCTGGCGGGCTTTGAGGTTCCGCGGCTATTGAGTTTTAAGGCTTCCGGCCTGTGGCCGTCGCAAGAAGCCGGGGATGACCCTCGAGAGTAAGAGACTGCTGAGTAGGAGCTTCTGAGGCTTAGGGTTTCGGGCTTAGGGTTTAGGGCTTTAGGGCTTAGGGGTTTAGGGTTTAGGGCTTAGGGCTTAGGGCTTAGGGTTTAGTGCTTGGGGTTTAGGGGTTTAGGGTGTAGGGGTTTAGGGGTTTAGGGTTTAGGGTCTGAGAAAACCGCAAGCCCCCGAAACCCTGAAGCCTGCATGCCGAGGGACGGCTGGGCCTTTGCCACCGCCGAAGCCTCCGGGCGCTTGGCCTCAGATGTCCGGGAGTGCGGCGCTGCTGTTTAGGGCTTACAGGGTTTGGGGCTTACGTGTTTAGGACGCTTCAACGAGTTCAGGATTTAGCATCATAGTGTCAGGGTGTTGCAGCATCTAAAGATACCAGCAACAGCAATGCGAATATTCATCAGAAACAAAATGGATCCACCAGAAACAGGTCAGCACACCTGATGTGCGGTGCCATAGGCCGTGGCCTCAAGTTGAAGGCTCTATGCAGATGTGGGCCCAAAGATCCAAGGCTCCGGTGAATCGGAATTGCGACTACGTGAAGGTTTTAGGGGCCTCTAGGTCTAGACTTTGCATGCCGGGCCAAAAGCGTCACCAACGGATCAGCCGAGCCCGCAGCTCCCGAAACCACCGCTAGAAGGTGGGCCACCGAAGCCACTTGCTGGAGGACCTGGCTTTGCGGGTCTTGGGGTTGCTTTGGGTTTTTGTGCTGGGTCTGGGGTGTCTGCTTGCAGCCGCATCTACCCAGCCATCGCCGAAAGACGCATCGTGCTGCAGCATCTTATTGAATCCTAGAAGCCACCTTCAGCACGGTAACTATGCCAATCATGCTCGACGGACTTCGAGGATTCTACCAAGGCGTATCACCCAAACACGGTTTGCGTTAGGACCGCTTGCTTGCAGATTGGTTAGCTGTTGGCTGCCGTGCTGCTATTAAAGTGTGTGGCGGTGCTGATCTTCTTGTGAAGGAAACGGTGTTCAGAGTGCGGCCGAGCCACCGCCGAAGCCACCTCCATTGGGCGAGCGGGATTTAATGCATGGGGACAGGGAAATCCACTTCCGATGGCATCCGCGACGGTTCAAGTCTAGGGTTGAGGATTTAGGGTTTGGGTTTAGGGTCTAGGGTTTAGGGTTGTAGGGCCCTGCGGGGTTTAGGGTTGCCGTCCTGGGTTCCGGGTTTAGGGTTTGCGGGTTTCTTTTCTGGGCTTAGGGCTCGGTTTGAGCCTTCAGGCCACTGCCTTAGGCCTCAGACCCTAAACCCCGGAACCACCGAAATCGGGAAGCCCCAAAACGTGGGACCCTCAACCCCATGGAACACCCTAACTTTGATGGAAGCCGTAGATTAAAGGCCCACAAGACCCTAAAACCATGCCAACAGAACAGGAAACAATTAAGAAAACTTGAAAATAAAAGACATAATAATAACAATAAGAATAATAATTACAATGCAATAGTAGTTATAATTGCAAACGGACCCCGCTGCCCCCTCTCCTTTCTTTTTTTGGGAGGGGGGCTGCCGGCCTTTGCTCCCGGAGGAGGAGCCGAAGGGGCCGGGGCCAGGAGGCCGCGGGGCCTCCAGGAGCTCTTGAGATTGGGCTTTGGGGGGCTTTAGGGGCTTTAGGGGTATTTTAGGGGTTTAGGGTTTTCTGGGTTTTGGGGGTTTTTTGGTGCTTTTAGGGCTTTAAGGTGTAGAAGTTTAGAGATTTGGGTTTAGGGCTTTTAGGGGCTTTGGGGTTTTAGGGGGTGCTTTAGGGGTTTTTAGGGCTTTAGGGGTTTAGGGTTTTAGGGGTTTTAGGGGTTTAGGGGCTTTAAGGGTTTTTGGGGCTTTAGGGGTTTTTGGCGCTTTAGGGCTTTGGGCCTTTAGGGTTTTAGGGGTTTAGAGTTTAAGGGGTTTTGCAAGCAGTCACTGCTTGCGATCCGGGCGAGATCGAGGGTTTAGGTGTTTAGGGTTTAGGGTCTTATAAACGGGTTTCACGATGTTTGAAGAGTTGTTTCATACTGGGGTCTTGTCAGGTTTTATGAAGAGCTTAGGATTAGAGTAGGGTTTTGTAGGGTTTTCGGTTCTGTGCTGGGTTTTGGTTTAGGGTTACGGGTCATGGCGTTTAGCGGTTAAGGTTGTTGTTGAAGACCACGTTCCGCGTCGGATTTCGGGCTTTTTGGCGAGCTTGCAAACCAGGCTAGCTGAGGTTTCGGTGGACCGGGTGTTTGTTCAGGCTCCGGTCTTCGCCATGCATTGGAATAGTGACAAAAACACCAACGGGGCAGACGAATAGCAATAGCAATAACAATGACCACAACAACAAGTAACTGCAGCAATAACAACAACAATAACAATAAGACTATTGACGACAAGAGGCTGCTGGCAAGAATGATGAATATCTATAAGCAGAGAGCAAGAACAAAACGAGCAAAAACCATAATCACACTGACACGGACACTTATCATGCAAACCCGGCCCTAAACCGAACACCGCCTGGCTCTGCGGTGGGAAGGTGTCGCCCCCGCCGCCGAAGGGATTGCCTCCACGGCCGCAAGGCTGGGGACCGAGGTCGCAGCTCGAAGTACGTAGGGGTCGGGGCCTTCATTATTGTGTTTTGGGGTATATCATAGCATAAGTCGGAACCTTTAGGAATAGCAGTGTTAGCAGTGGTAACGGTCTAGGCTTCTATACTCGGATTTGCGCAGAATCCTTGCTGCATCGGCTGCATACTCTTTGCACGGACCCCGAGTCCGACGTGTTGAAAACTGCAGCAGCCTGCGCTCTTCACAACAGCGCACGTTTAGGGCGGGGAGGGGGCCCTTTCCCTAACACCAAACCCTACACCTAAAACCCTAAAACCCCAATCACTAACTAAACCCTTAAACCCTAAACCCCAAACTCCTAGGAACCATAAACCCTGCCCAGCCTCTAAAACTCAACCTGAAAGCCTAAGAAAACACGAAAACCCTGAAGCACTACATGTACAAAAACCTCAGATCCAAGATGGGCTGCCACCGGCCTGCACCCTTCGAGGCACCTCCCGGGACCTCAGAGAACTGCGCAGACTTTACGGGTGATGGTTAGGGTTTAGGGTACGGGTTCGGGGTTTAGGGTTTCCGGTTTTAGGAGTTGAGGGGTTTAGCTAAACGGCTTAGGCGGTTTGGGCTTTAGGGCTCTGGTGTCTGCAAAAGGATCCATAAGGGTTCAGGGAAGGCTCTTCAAAGGTTCTAGAAGGCTTCATGGAGCTTAGGGTAACTATAGCTATAACCCATATTAAGCAACTTATAACCTTACGTATATCTAGCCATGAACCTCCAAGTTCTTGTTAACTGCTGTCAATGCCAGTTGCAGCTTAGGCAGAAGCCCGCAACTCAAAGCCACAAGCTCCTTCCCCCGCCCGAACTGGGGCCGGCATGCAAAGCTTTCTTGGCCCCCAGGCGCTTCCGAAGCCCTTGCCTCCGCCGTAGCCGCCACTGGCAGGAGGCTCTTTGTGGGGTGAGGACAGGGCACCGTGTCTCTCAGTCTTTCGGGTCTAGGGCTTTCAGGATTTTTGGCTCAAGGTTGCGGGTTCAGGCTTCGCGTGAGCTGTGTTGGGCTCTCCGTGCCTGCCTCCAACTTACAACCTGCTTGTCAACTCCTTTCGCCGGATCCGCCTCATGGAGGACCCACCCCAGCCCTTGGCGAAAGGGAAGATTGGCACTGAGGGTACATGAGCCAGCCGAGTGGCAGCGGCCCATGGTTTTGATACATACTGGATACTATAAGGGTACCATGAGGGTACTGGAAGGGCACTATTAGGGTATGACAAGGGTAGTAAATTGATAGATAAGGGTACTACTTCCGATGCTACTACTTATCATCATAGGCATGATCAACTATGCCGTGGCGATAACCATGAGGAACAGGAACAACAGCAATAATGCAGTGTCT